CCCCGTATTTTTCTACCTCTCCCCCTTTGCGGCTGCTCTGTTTCTTAGCCTTTTATATGGTGCCCTTCAACCCTAAAAAAAAACCAGCAACCTCCGTCCAAATTTGCAGCCAAGGGCCTGCACCAGCTCCTTCTGTGCAAGCTGCGTTTAACGCAGCTTGCCGCGACTGATTTGACTTTTTTTTTTTACTAATTAAGACAGAAATTGATAGTAATAATAAACAAAACAAATAACAAAACAATTTAATTAACATTGAATGGAAAATAAATGAACTAAAAACCACCAATTACAACTTCCATTTTTCATCGATCTTCCTTTTCCATTTTCGGCACTTTTCCCTTTCTTTTTGTTTTCAATTTTAAACTTTTTTTTTCATTTTTTTTCAAAGATAAGCCAATATGCATTAAACCATTTTTTCTCTCTTTTTTTTTTACTTTCTTTTTCTCTTTTTCTAAAGATTCTATGCTAAAACTTACAAAAATACAAAAACAAAAATAAAAACTACAAAACAACTAAAACTAAAAAGTGAATGAAACTAAAATAAAATAGCACAAACAATAATAAACTAAAATGCCAACAAAGCATACCAATTAATTCAAAAATTTGGTGTCTACAGTTTGCCCCTCTTTGTCTGAGTTTTGGAAAAACTTGAGACAAAGAAGTAGACACCAAATACTTACCTGTGTTATTGGGCTGCAAAAGATTCCGACGAACAGGAATTCTAATACGGGACTGACCCGAACATGAAAAATAAGACGGTACTGACCCGAACAGGAGTTTAAAATGGGACTGACCCGAACAGGAATTTTGAAATCGGGACTGACCCGAACAGGAATTTAAAATTGGGATAGACCTACGGGATAGACCCGGACAGAAATGTAAAATTGGGATTGACTAGAGATAGAAAATTCAAATCATGGGACTGGCCCGAACAGGCTTTAATCACGGGACTGACCCGAATAAGCTTTGAATTGTGGGACTGACCCGAAAATGCTCTTGATCGTGGGATTGACCCGAATGAGCTTTTGATCATGGGACTGACCCGAAAATACTTTTGATCGTGGGACTGACCCGAATAAGATTTTAATCGCGGGACTGACCCGAACAGGCTTTGAATCGCGGGACTGACCCGAAAATGCTCTTGATCGTGGGACTGACCCGAAAATGCTTTTGATCATGGGACTGACCCGAAAATGCTTTTTGGTCGTGGGACTGACCCGAAAATGCTTTTGATCGTGGGACTGACCCGAAAATGCTTTTGACCGTGGGGCTGACCCGAATAAGCTTCTGATCGTGGGACCTACCCGAAAATGCTTTTGATCGTGGGACTGACCCGAAAATGCTTTTGACCGTGGGGCTGACCCGAATAAGCCTTTGATCGTGGGACTGACCCGAAAATGCTTTTGACCGTGGGGCTGACCCGAATAAGCTTCTGATCATGGGACTGACCCGAAAATGCTCTTGATCGTGGGACTGACCCGAAAATGCTTTTGATCGTGGGACTGACCCGAAAATGCTTTTGACCGTGGGGCTGACCCGAATAAGCTTCTGATCATGGGACTGACCCGAAAATGCTTTTGATCGTGGGACTGACCCGAAAATGCTTTTGATCCTGGGACTGACCCGGAAATGCTTTTGATCGTGGGACTGACCCGGAAATGCTTTTGATCGTGGGACTGACCCGGAAATTCTTTTGATCATGGGACTGACCCGGAAATGCTTTTGATCGTGGGACTGACCCGAAAATGCTTTCGATCATGGGACTGACCCGAAAATGCTTTCGATCATGGGACTGACCCGAAAAATGCTTTTGATAAAATTTGTGTTGATTTCTGATTGATGATTTTTCTTTTTGCTTTTCTTTTGACTTTTGAAAATCTTTCCAAGAAATTAATTTGCCCCAGTATGATGAATTTTTGCAATGTGAGTCCAGAGTTGATTCCATATCGCCATGCTATTGCATTTTTGATGAAATTTGCTTGCGACATTTTCAATCTGCCTTTGTTCACCGGAGGACTCTTTCCGACACCGATTCCAGTGCGAGGTGTGATGACTTTCATTTGTGCATGCGGTTTTTCTGCAAAAGAGAAGAAACAAAGAAATTGCCACCATCATTTGATCCGTTTGCCTTTTGAGAATCGTGTAAACATAAGCCTTTTGATGCCTTCGTCAAAGTTGGCCGCGGCATCTGACTTGGTTGGATTTTTCACCCTAAGGCTTTTCCGATTTACAAACTGATCCGGTATGTGCTTTGCCATATTGTGAAGTCTGCATAACTGACTTTGTTGAACCTTAACCCTTTTCAGGAGATGACTGAACCCAAGTATGCTTCGAATAAACCACGGGGGTTGTCATTTACCACAATTCAAAGATAAAGAATGAAGTATGCAAGAAAATTCACTTGTCATACAAGAATGCACACATAATCATTTGTGCTTAAATTCTACAAAAATGCCATGAATGCAAGTAATTTGGTAAAAATGAATTTCCTAAGAATGTATTTGCCAAAAAAATGCCTTTCAAAATGACCCAGTTTTGGCCAACAAATGTCATATTCAATTCTCTGGATATCTTTGTTCTGGAATTCAAAATTGACAGAAGTAAGACAAAAAGAGGAGAAATCCAAATGAACCAAATCACTAGCTGTTCTTCCTCGTGCTCGCTTGCTGCAAAATCCTACCTTGGCGCCCTTTCGGGTTTTTACCTAAGGAAGCAATGGAAGAGCTCAACCTTAATCGGCTCAGGAGTATGAGTTAAAGACTTCTGACATCAGTAAAATGCACTTCCCCTTGTAAGATTAAGCGAAGGCATTATGGACATCACTTGTCAGTTGACTAGCAAACTTTCCAATAGAAATACAGCAAGTGACGAAAGCCAGGACTTTGGGCTTTTGTAATGGGGTCTGGTGGGGTATTTCAAGAAAAGTTGAGGCTTGAAAGCAAATTTGATGAGAGGTGTGAAATAACCTGAGATTGCATCATTTTGAGATCATCTTCAAATTTTGAACAAAACTGAGGAAAATTTGCCCCAGTTTGATTGAATTCTTCTTTTTGTGCTTTTCATTGCATTTTTCACAATTGCATTTTTCTTCAAAAACTAAATTTGCCCCAGTGTGGGGTTCTTTCTTTTCCTCTTTTTCCTTTCATCTCTCTTTCAAAGATAAATTTATCCCAGTGTGGGGTTTTTCTTTCCTTTCTGATCATTTTCAAAATGAATTTGCCCCAGTGTGGGGTTTGCAGTTCTCAGGGGTTGCCAAACGAAAATTATTGCTCTGATAGCTCAAAGGGGATGACTAGGGATAAATGTTTTGATTGGAAAGGAAAATGGCCTGACTTGTGCCTCATCCCTTGCACGATTTCCAAAAAGAAACTTGCATCCTATACATATATAAGAAAATCTTCGTTGTGCAAGAAAGCTTTAAGTTTCAACCGCCCTTTTTGGATATCGTTGTCAATTGAGTGGACAACTGGACAAGGTAGAGATGTTGAGCTGATATTGTACAAGTTGTTAATGCAATGATTGGTGTTAATATGACTATTTTATCCATGATGCTTGCAACGTTATCACCCATTGTAGTCTGCTCTCCTCTTATTATTTTGATGGGTCCCTTTCTTAATTGCTTAGGGGCTCATATTACCAAATGAGCCCATATGTAGAATACTAATTCCTAAATAAAATGCACCAGTATAATCCTTCGTATGCCAATCCTGAAGTGGCCGGTGCTAAGCTTAATTACACAGCACTGAATAGGCACTGAATAAGGGACCTCAGTAATCAAATCTAACATTAAATGGTCAGACCCCTGTTTCTCTTCCTCTGCCACCCAAAACCGTTTTCTCATTTGCCCCTTTGCAAATTTCACCGAAGCCCCTTTGATTATTGGTGACTATTATGAGAGGTTTTTAATTCAACTTCCACCAGTTTCACCTCCCTCTGTTAAACGGTCTCTTAATTTCTCCATGTTTGCCACCCATGTCAGTTTCTGTTCCTCTTATTATGTTGGGCTTCTTTAATTCCTTGGCTGATTAGGTTTGATTTCCGCTTATTTGCTTCTTCTTCCACTTTATTCCTCTTAATGGCTCTAATTATTAAACAGCCACCAGATGAAGTATTAGCTCCCCCACGTTTTCCACCTATGGCTTTCCTCCTCCTTCCGCATTTGCTAGACGCATAGCCTTCCATCTTCTTCCGTTTCTCTCCTTTCCTTCTATGATTGGTTGGTGTTAAATCTGTTGCTACATATAGCTGTTTCTCTGTGATATGTTTGGTCGCCGATATGGAATTTCATTGGAATTGAGGTGAGATTCGTATACAAGTAATTTTACCCATTTGATTTTGGCTTTTGCTTTCAAAAAAAGAATTACCATGCTTTCTTAGACCTGATGTGTTTGTTCTCATCTGCATCCTTCGTCCGTTTATTAATTCCGGCCTTTCATACCAAGTTAATTATTTTTTTTGTCATGCAGGCTCAAACTCTTCTCATCAAGATCAAGTTTTATCGGTTTCTTTTTAAAAAAGGTTAGTTCATTTTCGACCTTTCTCCAAACTTGCTGGAATAGCTGTTTTGTTTTTTTTAAAAATGATTTTGTGGACTGTGTTTATCATTGAATTCATGCCTGCTTGGAAATCTCCGTTAGTTTACAATTTATGCTTGTTTGGCAATCTTCTTTTGTTTACATTGGATTTGAGTATTATGTAGTACAGTTAAAAAATCTTTTGCTCTTTCATCGCTCATAGATTTCATGACATGTGTATATACATGAAAGCATAAGCAATTAGTATTGTAGTTGTTCCTTATTTTAAAAGAGCTGCAGTTCATTCGGTAGCAAAAAGTGGTTAATATTTGTAGGCTGAATCTGTGCTGAAGTATACTACAAATAAGCTTGTGTCTTAGGATTCATTCTTGTGTCTTAGGATTCATTCGAATTGTTCAAGTTTGTGTAAACCTCAAGTTCCAACCACTTTTGTTAGTTGACCCAACATTTCCATAGCAACCCACTATGAATCGAAACATTGATCCTTCTAAAATGTTCGACCGAAAAGCTCGACGTAACGAAAAGGCTAGACAAAGATATGCCTCTTTAACTGAGGAGCAGAAAGAAATCCAACGGAAAAAACGCCGTGATACCTATAAAAGTAAAAAAGAAAAGACAAAGACTACTTTTACCTCCTCGTTAGTATTGAGAGGAAAAGGTATCGCGCTGTATATACTACATTATAGTGAATATTTAGATGCCCACCTACCTCTATAATAACTCCCAACAAGTATGGCTGTAAACTAAACTACCTTTGCCTGTATCTCTATGCTCAGATGATGAGCACACCAGTAATAAGCAACTGTTACAGCAGGCTTTTCGCATTCAGGAACCTAACTGTGGTCATAAGCACCACAGTGAGGCAGGTTATTTTTGTAATCCCTTTTCCTTTAGGCTATTGTGATGTCATATAGGCATAACATTTTCACAATCTATTTAGTTCCTGGAGACAAAGTTGAAGGTAATCGAAGGCAGAAGGAGCATGTTTCAGAATTTTCAACATATCACAAAGGTGAACCACATAGAATTAAAAACATTTTTAATTCACAAATATCCAAAGATATATTAAAAGAGACCTACAAAATATGTTAGTTAACATCCTGTGGAAAATGTATAGGTTCTACTTCTACAGCTCGACGGATAAAAAAGTGTCAGCATTCTAAAGCGACCCAATCTTCAGGTTTAGTTATTGTTTCCTACTGCTAAGTTTAATTATTCTTTCCTCTTGAAACAAACATTACCAACCGAGATTTCTCCCTAGCTACTAGCTAAAAGTGATCACCTTATTTGCCAATATTGTAGACCAACCACCCATCTGCAACTCTTGCTATAGCTTGCTTTCTGAAGCAATGGAGGATCTAACAGGTTAGCTAACAAACTGATCACCATTGTTGATCATATAACAGTGGCGATCCCATTGACAAAAACTGATCACCATTGCATAAATAGGATATTCAGTTGAACCTAAACGTTCAAGAGAAGCTAAACATATGTCAAGACGAAGGTGTAAACAGAATTCAGGTTTATTCCTTCTACATAATAAAACAAGTTGTAAAACTTCAACATATTAAAAATCATATTAATGACATTTTTGATCCATTCATGTAGTTAAAAGCTGTGGGGAAGACCAAAATGCTTCGATTAGGAAACAAAACAATGTACGCAAACAACATAAAAGGGTGGTGACGGGAATTGAGGCATTATCTTCGATAAGCTTGGAAGCTGATAGATTACCAGAGCAACAGAATTGCAAGTACTGCGGAGCCAAAAAATTTTATTCTGAGTCTGCAAACTTTTGTTGCTCTGATGGAGAAGTAGTCTTAGAAGAGAATAAAATGCCAGACATATTAATAGAGCTATTTACTGGTGAAACTGAAGAAGCAATTTGTTTCAGAACCTATGTAAGAACATACAATAGTATGTTCGCTTTCACCTCTTTTGGAGTTAACTATGATAAATCGCTTTGCCAAAGAAGAAACGGAATATATACTTTCAAAATTCAGGGCCAAACGTATCATTTTATAAATCAATTGATTCCCCATGGAGGATCGGGAATGTTTTTGCAGTTATACTTTCATGATACTGAACATGAAATCGCAAATCGATTGGCTTTTTCAACAAAACTAACTGAGAGCATAGTGGTGAAACTCATGGAACTCATGAAAAGTAACCCTTATGCCTGCTTTTTCCGAAGCCTGAGACATGTTCCAGACTTGAACAATTATCAAATAGTCCTGAAATCTTACTGTCAAACTGATCAGCGAGTCTTTAACAAGCCAACAGTATCCCAAGTAGCTGCACTGTGGGTTGAAGGTGAAAACTCACAGGACAGCTATGCTAGACACATTCAAGTATACACAAAAGAGGGTCAAAGCCGTAGAATTCAATATTACTATGGCTGTTATGATCCATTGCAGTATCCACTTCTATTTCCCTTTGGCGAAACAGGGTGGCAACCTGGAATTCAGAGATCTGGCACTGGTAATCCAAAAAAAAGGAAAAGGTCAGTTAGAAATCATCAACAGACTGCAACTTTAACAAGCTTCAGATCTGCCGAAGATATAATAGAATCAGAAGAGAAAGGTTAGTTGTTTTTAAATATAATACAAATTTTATGAATACAATTTTAGTTTACCAAATGTAAATTGAAGCTTAAAATTTTTTGAAACAGCTTTCAAAAACTTTGAGAATTCAAAGGAGAATGTGTCCATGCGTGAATACTATGCATATAGGTTCCAGATGAGGGAGAAAAATAAACCAAGTATTCTTAATACTGCCCGTGCATTTCAACAGTATGTAGTGGACATGTACGTAAAAATTGAGAGTCAAAGGCTTGATTTTTTCCGGCATAGGCAACAACAAATTAGGACTGAGCAATTACAGGGTGTCATGGATTCTGTAGTTGAGGGCCAATGTAGAGGTTCAAAAGTAGGGCAACGAGTAATTTTGCCAGCATCTTTTATAGGAGGTCCTCGTGATATGAAAAGAAGGTATGTTGATGCTATGGCCTTAGTTCAAAAATTCGGAAAACCTGACATTTTTTTAACAATGACTTGTAACCCATCATGGCCAGAAATAAAAGAAAACTTACTGCCCACTGATGAGTCTCAAAACCGTGTTGATCTTTCTGCTAGAGTTTTTCATGCCAAATTAGAAATTTTAAAAGAAGAGTTGTTTAAAAAAGAGGTATTGGGTAAAGTAGCTGCTTACACCTATGTTGTTGAATTCCAAAAACGTGGGTTGCCGCATGCACATTTCTTAATAATTTTACACCCAGCGTCTAAATTATATTCAACGGAATCCTATGATCACATAGTTTCTGCTGAGATTCCAGACAAAAAAGAGCATCCACACTTGTTTAAAATGGTTCGCAAGCACATGATGCATGGTCCTTGTGGCGAAAAAAATGCAGATAATGTGTGTATGCAAGGTACAACAGTTAAAAAATGCAAAAATCATTATCCTAAACAGTGGGCAGAAAAAACTACACAATCTGAAAATTCTTATCCAACATATAGGCGGAGGAGCAATAGAGAAAAGGTAAAAGTTCGAGGCCATGAATTGGATAATAGATGGGTAGTTCCATATAATCCTTACTTGTTAGCAAAATTCAATTGCCATATGAATGTTGAAATTTGCTCAACAATAAAGGTAGTCAAGTATACTTATAAGTACATATATAAGGGACATGATAAAATACACTTTGCTGTGAATTCAGATGACAGATCTAAAGAGATAGATGAAATTAAGGAGTACCAATCAGCAAGATGGGTTTCTCCTATTGAAGCCATTTGGCGAATTTACAGATTTCCCTTATTTGAAACACATCCTGCTGTCATTAACCTTCTGCTACATCTTGAAAATTACCAATCTCTGACCTTCAAAGATGATGCTGATCTTAGAGATCTTTTGAAAAGTAAATTTGCTAAGAAAAGTATGCTAACTGAATTTTTCCATATGAATGCTACTGATGAGAGAGCCAAAACATTGAAATGCACATACAAAGAATTTCCTGAACATTTTGTGTGGAAACCTGGTAAACGCATATGGGATATTAGGCAACAAAGAGGTTCAATAGGCCGAATTGTTACAGCAAATCCAAGTGAGGGTGAGAGGTACTTCTTAAGATTATTGTTATTGAATGTAAAAGGGCCAACATCATTTGATGACCTGAAAACTGTCGATGGTGTTTATGTTAATACCTTTAGAGAAGCAGCAATAATGAGAGGATTATTTGAATCCAATAACCCTCAAGAGCAGTGCCTAGAAGAAGCAGCTTTATACCACATGCCATATAGCTTTAGAAGACTATTTGCTACCCTATTAGTTTACTTCACTCCTGCTGATCCAAGAAGTTTATGGTTAAAATTCAAAGAATCTATGTCAGAAGATTTCAATAGAACTTTGAATTTGTCAAACGATCAGGTCCAACATAAAGTTCTCTATGAGATTAGCAAGTTCTTAGAATCAATGGGAAAAAACATTAATATGTATGGATTAGTACCACGAATCTTAAAGTTTGATGAAATGGATAGAGGTACAAGAGACACAAATTCTGAGCTAAACTTTAAAGTCAATGAAGAAGATATTGCTGCTATCTCTAAATTAAATGAGGATCAAAAAGTAGCATTTGATACTATCATAGATGCTGTTTTTATACACAGCAAAGGAAGTTTCTTTATTGATGGGCCTGGGGGAACAGGGAAAACATTCTTGTACCGTGCACTACTAGCTGCAGTTAGATCAAAGGGATGTATAGCTTTGGCAACGGCCTCTTGTGGAGTAGCTGCTTCTATCTTACCTGGAGGTAGAACAGCCCACTCACGATTTAAAATTCCTTTAGACATGAATCCTAACAACATGTGCAAAGTAAGCAAACAAAGCTCATTGGCAAAGTTATTACAGCAAGCCAAATTGATCATTTGGGATGAAGCGCCTATGACACATAGAGCAGGAATTGAGGGAGTAGATCGTTTACTTAGAGACCTAATGGATAACTCTGAATTATTTGGGTCAAAAGTGATGGTATTTGGTGGTGATTTTAGGCAAGTTCTGCCGGTAGTTGTAAAAGGGTCAAAATCAGACTTTATCGAAGCTAGCCTTGTAAAATCTTATATTTGGCCTCATCTGCAGAAATTAAAATTGAAGGAAAACATGAGAGCAAGATTAGATCCTGATTTTAGCAAGTACCTTCTTCGTATAGGTAATGGAACAGAAAACACAGTTAAAAATGAAAGTATTCACATCTCTCAAGCATTGCTTCTTCGCTATACAAATGAAGCAGAATCCATAAATCAATTGATTACAACTGTCTATCCAAACTTCAACATATTTTCTGAAAATACATACTCATTAATTAATAGAGCAATTTTAACTACAAAAAATGATTTTGTAGATCAGATCAATGAAAAATTGATACAGGAATTTCCCGGAACCCCATTTGACTATTTAAGCAGAGATAAATGTTTAGATAATTCGCAGCAAGCAATTTTAGAGGACTTCATGAATAGCCACACTCCAAATGGTTTTCCTCCACATCGATTGACATTGAAAGAAAATGCACCAATAATGTTGTTGAGAAACATTGACCCACCAGAAGGTCTATGTAATGGAACAAGACTTCTATGCAAATCACTTAAACACAATATTATAGATGCAGTCATAAGTTCTGGTGAATTTGCTGGGAAGCAAGTATTTCTACATAGAATTTGCTTTCGTGTTGAAAATGACCCTAATTCTCCTATATCTTTTGAACGAATGCAATTTCCTATAAGACTTTGTTTTGCAATGACCATTAATAAAGCTCAAGGGCAAACTTTAGATTATGTTGGCATTTATTTGCGAGAACCTGTTTTTTCACATGGGTAGCTGTATGTTGCATTATCTAGAGCAAAAAATAGCAAATCTGTTAAAATTTTGATCACACCTCCTGTATATGATTCAAGTTTAGATTATGTGACTCCTAATATAGTTTACAAGGATGTATTGCAACTATCTTGTCAATAATTCCAGTACTCTGTTATATGTAAATAGCAAATAAAGTACCAGTAAATGTCTTAGTAATACATTATATTTAAATTCTATGAACTTACTACTTCGGAGTGTAACTCTTGTCTTTGGAATCCTTCGATTTTGTGGTAGTTGTCTGCAGCACTCTTCAAACGTCAAAAAATGGAAAGCAACCTGGTAAACTTCACAGAACTCCAACCTCTCATGGACAACTGGACTGCCATTGTTCAAGTGATTGAAAAGCAAAAGGTTCAGGTTTCAAGAAATGGAAAACGCTACCAAAAGTTGGTGTTTGTTGATAGTCAGGTAATATAGCTTATCATTGCATACTTTGGCACTATACACAACTAATTAATTACCATAGCACTTACTGTATTCAAAATTACAGGGTCAAACTGCTCAAGCTCTAATTTATGCTGGAGATATAATGTTCTTCAGGAAGTACTTTGAACCATATCGAAGATATTATGTATCGAATGCTAGGATTCAAAATGTGTTGCCAAGGTACAGTACGTACCCAAATGAGTGCTCATGGACCATTGACAACTCCACGCTTGTCCAAGAAATCGATGAAGTGGACCCCCCTCTGATACCTAATGTGTTTAACTTTGCTGACTACGATTCAGTTTATCAGCACATTGACACAACTGATGAAATAGGTACCATTCCTGATTTACCTTAACATATAATTTACATAGTCATAGTTACACTTTTTAATATCAAACTCTGGTTATTAGATCTTATTGGAATAGCAATTCACGTGCACCCGAAAGCAATCAGAGGTGGAACACCAACTAGGGATATCATTCTTACAGATCATATGTCGCACCCAATGGTACTGACCCTTTGGGGAGAGCATGAATCAGAAGAGGGACAAGACATAGCTGATATGATCCACACCCAACCTGTGGTTGCAGCGCTTCGAGTCCGAGTGACATCTTACCATGGTACGTACTCTTTTAAAAACCATTTACAAAAATCCTAAGTTGACTGAAACCAGAAAAGGAAAAACTTATGTTGCTATTGTCAACTTTGTAGCCATGCATCTATCCACCAAATTCTCCAGCAGCATACTAATCAATCCTCCAATTCAGCAAGCCAATGACCTGCGTAACTGGTAACTTTACTTTAAAATAGTTACATTATAAATTATTCAACATTCATTACCAAAAAGGCTTACTATCCTTTACATTACAACAAATAAAATATTAGGTGCAGTCACAATCAAGAGGAAATCACGCGTTTCATTGCTGAGCGGACTTATGGTGATCGTCTCAAACTCCTACCTGTACCAGATGATGACAGAGTTATAACTATCAGCGATCTCACAGCTGTGGTTGAGGTACATATACAACTCACTCACAATCCTTTATTTCTGCATGCATGCCAACAGCCAAAAAGTCTGTAGTCTCTTCCATTACAAAATTGGCTTGTGGGTTATCGAATTGGATTATACTGACTACAAGCTTGAACTACCATTCCCTACTCTCCTGATTGATTGGTAATGAGATTTGAATGTTTTGGGCAAAAATGTCTTCAGTTTAGTTTTCATTGTATCTGTACGTTTTTGTAGAACTAATTAATGCTCCCTTTCATTTGGTTTTTCCGGATATACGGGCTTTCATCCAGTAATTTTGTCCTCGTTAATGAAATTAGTAGCTCCTGTTTTCCCATTTTACCCAGTAATTTTTTATTTACTTGTTTGTCCCATTTCTTCGTATTTTTGCATCTCTGTGACTTTGTAGGTGGAATTTCGTGTTTTAATGCTACTGCGTAATTACCATTTTTTCCCCTACTCATTATCTTACTTGTCAAATTGTACTTTCTCTCTTGTGAACCTCACTGTAGCGTAAAGCTTTTTAATTCTTTTTAATTGCTTGATGGATTCTATAGTTTTATTATGAAACTCTCGCCCATGTGAAATTCAAGAATCATATGCTTTGCATTATCTTTTATAAGAGGGTCTTCTGGGCCTAATACAATTCTTGCCTGGCGTACTAGATGTTAACAAATGGCTTAACACAATAGGTTAACAGTGCTACAAAATTGATTATCTACTTTGACTTCTATTACTATTAGCAAACTTGGTATACTTGTCCGAGCCTTTGTAATAATACAATGCTCATTCATTGCAGGCAAGGCCCTATTGGATTAGAGGCATACCAAAACTTCTAGATAGAAGTCAAAAGCTATGGTACCATTCATGCCCCCATTGCTACAAATACATCAGAGCAAGGCCAGATTGCGAGATCACCTGCACTTCATGCTACCAGCGCATCCGTCTCACTCCACGGTAAACATATACCTTAATCTAATATTAACAACCCCTGCTGCCAAAAAAGCTTCTAATAACATGAACCCAAAAACAGCTGCAGACTAACAGTGCAAATTAGTGATATGAGTGGTGCTATAACTCTTGACCTGAGTGGTGATGATGCTGAACAACTCCTCCCATTCTGCATAAGTGACATCCAAAAGCAAGAGCAGCAGGTACATTCGAACTCAAAACTACTTTGCAACATTCTGCTCACTTCAAATAAATACTTAAAGTCTCTATTCTTCCTACAGGGAAATGTCCAGTATGCCACTATAGCAGATTTCATCAAGCAGAAAAACTTAGTTTGCTTGGTCAAGAAATCAAATACAATCCACAGTTCCAGGAGCTCAGAAAAGTACAATGCCATAGTTGCCCATATCAACAATGCTACTGCAGAAGAAAACTATGTCATCAGCAAATATATCACCAACTACAAAGCTACAGCATCCACTTGGGCAGCAGCACAAGAAGAACATTCCAAAAAGAATGTTACCGACATGGCTGAAAATATGGCAATAGAAAAAGTTGATAGCATAATGGAAGGAGAAACACAAAGCAAAGGAGTGGATCAACTCAGTCCTTCTAACACAGAAGATAAGAAGAAAAAGGCAGCAGTTGCAGCAGCCCCAATGAAACTCAGAGTCAACCCCACTAAGAAACACCGCACCTAAACTGCCAAAGCCCATCCTTGAAGTTATATCCTTTGCGAATGGATCTTCATTATTCCTAAGTACTACTACTTTAACGGACAAACTTGGCTGAACTTTTCCTTTATCTGTTCTATGTAAATAGAAGTATCTAAAATAAGACTGTTTCAAATTAGGTTAAGTGCAAGGTGGTCTATTATACCTTCTTAGAAAAGGAGCCACTGAGCATTTAATCTAAATCTGAAACTATCATTGGGCCTATATCCCTGTCCGTATGGTCATGAACTCAAACATCCTGATCTAAGCTATGGTTTTTTATAATACTATGATGTGGTTCTCTATTATTTTCGTACGGCTTCTCAGTTACAACTTCCATCTTTTCTCTCTTCACTATTATTTACGAAGGTTAGATAGATCTCACCACGCGCATTATGGAGTGCGCATTGCGCGACCCACAGGCACCCCACTCCCGCGCATTGCGCGGGCCTCCCCCCCTAGTAATCAAATAAAGAACTTCTTACACATGTCCGAGTTGATAGGTCGAGGGAATGTCTGTCCTTCCATCTCTACCAAAATGAATGCCTTGCCAGGTAACACCTTTGAACAACGAATGGCCCTGGCCAACTTGGAGTGAATTCGCCTTTGGCTTAATCTTGCATTGGCAAAACTCACTTTAACTCTTTGCCCTCCTTCTCTAAAGGACCGGTGGCGGACATAGGTCATGCTTTATGACATTCAGCTGTTTTTCATTAATTAGAATTGGTAACCCTACTCTAACCAATCAGCTTTGAGCTTGGCAGGGGAGGAATTTTTATCAATGAAGGGATTTTTAATGAAGGGATTTTGGCCTTTTCCATGAAGGTTTTTCCAAGGAATGGATTTTGAATGAAGGGATTTCAATGAAGCAAGTTTTATATGAAGGGATTTTTCACTGAAGGCTTTTTAAGGACAGGAGTTTTAATGCAGGGATTTTTCAATGAAGGCTTTTCAATGTGCGGCTTCATCGAATTCCAGAACAGTGATATTCAGAGGGTCAAATAATTTCACCTTTGGCCATCTTAAAAGAATTTAAAAGAATCAATACAATAATCAAATCAAACAAATTATACACTTCATGCAACTCCAAATCAAAGCGGAAACAAAACAAACTCAATTGCAAAAGACGCTTTCATTAAGCTATGCACATATGCAAGAAAAAGTTTTCATGAATTTTAGCAAACGACAACCCCTAGACTTATCAAAATTCCCTTCAAGAGGGAAGAAACTCGGCCATCCAAATTGTGCAAAGCTCCTTCAGGATTTTCAAATTTCGTCGTTGGAGGTGGATGCCTCGAAGGTGTCCTGGTGTTCAGGAAAAGGATCCGTACTTCTGATCGGCCCTTGTTCACCTCTTTTCCTTAGCACTATTTCTCCTGCCTCGATCATGTCTTGGACTTTGTGCTTAAGTGCCCTGCAATCGGCGGTTGAGTGGCCAGGTACTCCCGAATGATAGGCACAAACAGCATGTGGATTGTACCCAGCAGGCATGCCGTGAAGGTAAGTTGGAGGGGGAATCACGCCTATTTTGTTGGCAACCTTCAATTGCTCATACATTTGGTTCAAAGGCCTGCCTAAGTTGGTGAAGGTTCGGGTACGGCTTTGATTGTAGGTTTCAGTGGGTCGGGGATAGTTGTAGGTGGGTCTATTTGGTGGGGGAAATCTTTGGTGGTAAGGAGGCCGAGGACGAGCTTGTTGAAAGCTTGGTTGAGATATTTGGAAAGGGGTTGTAGGCGGGTTGGCATAATTTGAGCGAGGTCGAGGATGAGTGATATTGGTGTGGTAAACAGGATGAGGATTTGAGTAGTAGGGGTAAGGGTTTGAGTTGGTAGGGTTTTGTCGAGGTCTGGGTCTTGGGACAGGGTTTTGATTCCAGGTAAAGGCAATTTCCCCCTCTTTCTTTTTAAATTGCGGGTTCTTCTCACTAGTCCCCGGTCCTTGCAAAGCATCCAACTGGGATTTGAGGGCAGAGACATTAACAATCTTCCCAGCTTTTACGAAGTCATCGTACTCCTCAAGTTTATTAACAATGGCGGCGAACGAGCATCCAGTCATGCGGAAAATTTCTTCAAAATACGGGGGATCATGTGCTTTAATGAAAGTCCGTATGATTTCGTCTTCAGTCATCGATGGCTCAACTTTTGCAGCTATTGTCCTCCATCTCTTAGCATAGGTTTTGTGGTCCTCAGATGGCTTCCTCTTTGTCCCTTCCAACGTGGTTCGTGTTGGAGCCAACTCGCAATTATACTCGTACTGCTTTACAAAAGCGTTGGACAAGTCCAGCCAGGTCTTTGCTTCTTCGGGTTTCAGCTTGGAATACCAGTCGAGTGCATCCCCCTCCAGACTTTCCGGGAACAGCCGTAAAGGCAAATTCTCGTCGTCTATGGGCCTTCCCAATTTGTTGGCAAACAAGCGGAGGTGCGTTTTGGGATTGCCAGTTCCATCGTACTTGTAAAACTTAGGGGTTTTGAACCCCTCAGGCAATTGCACATTTGGAAAGAGGCAAAGCTCATCGTAATCCAAGACTCCTTGCTTGTTTAACTCCTGACTCCTTCTCATAAATTCATCAAAACGATCGAGGCGTTTGAGCAGCTTTATATCAACGGGAGCAGAAGATTCCCCCATTTCTGCCTTGGCTTGAACAATATGGTCTGGTAGGAATGGCTCAGCAACAGGGTGATAAAAGGTATGTGGCTCAGGTGGTATATTTGAAGTGATTTGGGGTGGTGGACCTCGCGTGTGAGTAAGAAAAAATGAAGGATGAGGAGGGTAAGTGTATGGCAAATGTATGGTAGGATAGGTGAAAGTTCCTTCGGGTGGAATAATGAAAGGTGGAGCAAAAGTGGTTTGGGTCGTGGCTATGCCAAACGATTCTGGCTCCGGCTGACTGACGGGTTCAGGCTCAGGTTGAACTCCACTACTGATAAGCTCATCGATTAATTTCTTTCGGGCGGCCATTTCAGTTGCCATTTCACCAAACTTCGTAAGCATCTCGGTCAGTTGGACCCCCAAACTTGCAGTCTCAGGTTGAGCTGTAGTAGCAAACTTATCCGACAATTCCGGTTGCGAACTCATGTTTACACGACTCCTCTGGGCTTGACTACGGGATCGCGTTATGATGGGGCTTCGACGAGAAGCTATATTTAAATATTACCTGAGAATTTTGAAAGGAATTGCCTTTAGATAACCCTTGCCTAGTTATTACAATAAAAATAAAGAAAAGAAAAAGGCAAGAGTTAGTAGATATCCAGGAAATTCGGATGCATGTCCTATGGGGGAACCCTTTTTGTGCCAAGGGTAGGCCTAGCATGAAAATGCAATCCTCTGAAGTAGGCACTATACCATACCTGATGGATCTGATCAACTCATTGAGTGAAAAATAATTTTGAAAAATTTAGTCAATTGGATTGACGAGAGACACTTTGTCAAAATGAGGTCAACGTCCGAATAGATTGATCACTTTTGATTGATACAAGAATTTGCAAAAACGCACGGGTTTTGACTTTGACGAACTTCCTATCGAAGAAATTGGAATTCGTTAACAAATTTTCTTAGTGAAACGCAGGTCAAAAACTCCAA